AAAAAAAGAAGTGTGAATATAAGACAGGTTTGTTAGTGTACCATCTTGTAGATCAGTTCTACATAACCCGAAGCTGAACATTGTTATTACTCCTCAGGGGAGCTTCCTTGATGCTGGTGACGGGCTCTTGATCTAGGGAATTGCATCTGTGCTCCGGTTCCCTGAATTGTGCCTGAATACCTTCCATCCCTCCCACATGCGCTGTATAATCCTACGGGTTTAGCGCTCGCCATTATAATAATAATGTACATAGTCATTAATATTCTAACAACCTTAAATTAATCACATTTCTTGGAATCATATTAACTTATATTTAAAACTATCTCTAGTTATAACTTTTTTGTCCTATTTACTTCACAAGTTAACTATTCTGAGTCCCTCACTGGAGGTTCCTTGATGCTGGTGACGGGCTCTTGATCTAGAGAATTAGATCTGTACTCAAATTCCATGAATTAAGCCGTCCATTCACACCCCTCATAGGCGCTGTATAATTCCTACGGGTTTAGCATTCCCCATAATAATAATAATAATTAATAATTATAATAACTATTCTGAGATCAATATTACTACATAAACCTGTTGTATTCTGGGTTTACATTCTTAACAACAACATTCCTGCAATGTAAATAACCTCTTTATTTCTTTCAAATAATTTCTAAACCATTCTATAGGTTAATAAACCATGTTCTAGTTTTATAAACATGTTCTAGTTTAATAAACCATGTTTTAGTTTAATAAACCATGTTCTAGTTTAACAAATGATGTTCTAGTTTAATAAACCATGTTCTAGTTTTATAAACCATGTTCTAGTTTTATAACCATGTTCTAGTTTAATAAACCATGTTCTAGTTTTATAAACCATGTTCTAGTTTTATAACCTAGTTCTAATTTTATAAACCATGTTCTGTTTAATAAACCATGTTCTAGTTTAATAATGTTTGTTCTAGTTTAATTAAACCCATGTTCTTGTTTTTATAACCATGTTCTAGTTTTATAAACCATGTTCTAGTTTAATAACCCTTGTTCTAGTTTTATAAACCATGTTCTTGTTTTATAAACTAGGGGTTTTCTAGTTTTATAAACCATGTTCTAGTTTTATAACCATTTCAAGTTTTATAAACCATGTTCAGTTTTATAAACCATGTTCTAGTTTTATAAACCATGTTCTAGTTTTATAAACCATGTTCTAGTTTTATAAACCATGTTCTAGTTTTATAAACCATGTTCTAGTTTTATAAACCATGTTCTAGTTTAATAAACCATGTTCTAGTTTAATAAACCATGTTCTAGTTTAATAAATGATGTTCTAGTTTAATAAACCATGTTCTAGTTTTATAAACCATGTTCTAGTTTAACAAACCATGTTCTAGTTTAATAAATGATGTTCTAGTTTAATAAACCATGTTCTTGTTTTATAAACCATGTTCTAGTTTTATAAACCATGTTCTAGTTTAATAACCCTTGTTCTAGTTTTATAAACCATGTTCTAGTTTAATAAACCATGTAGTTTTATAAACCATGTTCTAGTTTTATAAACCATGTTCTAGTTTTATAAACCATGTTATAATTTAATAAACCATGTTCTAGTTTTATAAACCATGTTCTAGTTTAATAAACCATGTAGTTTTATAAACCATGTTCTAGTTTTATAAACCATGTTCTAGTTTTATAAACCATGTTCTTGTTTTATAAACTATGTTCTAGTTTTATAAACCATGTTCTAGTTTATAAACTATGTTCTAGTTTTATAAACCATGTTCTAGTTTTATAATCCATGTTCTAGTTTATAAACTATGTTCTAGTTTTATAAACCATGTTCTAGTTTATAAACTATGTTCTAGTTTTAAAAACCATGTTCTAGTTTTATAACCATGTTCTAGTTTTATAAACCATGTTCTAGTTTTATAAACCATGTTCTAGTTTTATAAACCATGTTCTAGTTTTATAAACTATGTTCTAGTTTATAAACCATGTTCTAGTTTTATAAACCATGTTCTTGTTTTATAAACTATGTTCTAGTTTTATAAACCATGTTCTAGTTTATAAACTATGTTCTAGTTTTATAAACCATGTTCTAGTTTTATAAACCATGTTCTAGTTTTATAAACCATGTTCTAGTTTTATAAACCATGTTCTAGTTTTAATAAACCATGTTCTAGTTTTATAAACCATGTTCTAGTTTTATAAACCATGTTCTAGTTTTATAAACCATGTTCTTGTTTTAAAAACCCATTTTTCTATTTTAAATAAACATGTTTTTGTTTTATAAACCATGTTCTAGTTTTATAAACCATGTTCTATTTATAAACCATGTTCTTGTTTTATAAACTATGTTTTAGTTTTAATAACCTGTTCTCGTTTTATAAAACCAAATTGTTCTAGTTTTATAAACCATGGTTCTAGTTTTTACCACCAGTTCTATTTTTATATACCTTTTTTCTAGTTTTTTAAACCAAGTTCTTACTTTTATAAAGCCATGTTTCTAGTTTTAACCCTTGTTCTAGTTTTTATAAACTTTGTTCTAGTTTTATAAACTATGTTCTAGTTTTATAAACCATGTTCTAGTTTTATAAACCATGTTCTAGTTTTATAAACCATGTTCTAGTTTTTACACCATGTTCTAGTTTTATATACCTTTTTCTAGTTTTATAAACCATGTTCTACTTTTATAAACCATGTTCTAGTTTTATAAACTATGTTCTAGTTTTATAAACCATGTTCTACTTTTATAAACCATGTTCTAGTTTTATAACCCTTGTTCTAGTTTTATAAACTTTGTTCTAGTTTTATAAACTTTGTTCTAGTTTGTATAAACTTTGTTCTAGTTTTATAAACTGTGTTCTAGTTTTATAAACTGTGTTTTGGTCTTTTAAACCTAGTTTTATGAACCCTATTACCCTTCTAGTGCACTGAGGCTGGGATTGGTCCCTGGCTGTATGGATTATTATTATTATTATCAAGGGGAAGCGCTAAACCCGGAGGATTATACAGCGCCTGGGGGGGTGGATGTGGGAGGCATTCAGGCTTAATTCGGGGAACTGGAGAAAAAAAACAGATCCAATTCCCTAAATCAAGAGCCCCTCACCAACATCAAGGAACCTTCCTTGATGGGTGGCTGTATGGAACACCCGCCTTAAATTTGAACTGAGCATAACCTTTGCTAACGTCTCCTGATGGTAAGAGAGGAGCACCATGGAGGACAGCTAGTTTAGTGGAGGAGAACCGAAATGGACGCAGTAAATCTTGATTGCTTGAACTCTGTCATCAGCTGTTTCTGAGCCCAGGCACAAGATGACATGAACTGTTTTGATGCCAATATGGAGTTCTGGAACCGTGTCACGAGCGAGCTTCCCTCTCTAGAACCAAGCACTAGTCACTAGATCATCCATCGTTCATGCTGTTAGCAAACATTATTGCTTCATCATAGGGTTACTGGTCGAAGCAATGACCTTGGAGCTACCTGCAAATGTAGAGCCAGTTACTTCCCACACCTGAGAACCTGCTTAATTCTACAATAGATTGAAAAACAAGTGGACCACCAGTATATTCATGATCATGAGGCGCCTGAGGAGGATACGACCACTGGCAGAGACGATGTTGTCACCTTCGTCGGAAAAATACTCGAAGGCCAAAGCGTTGAGCTGCTTAGTGTTTGTAACAAGAGTCCTGTTTATTTTGGGAAGGGAGAAAAAGTTCAGGAAGAGGTGTTCGCGAGGCTGAAACGTATCATCTCGCTCTCGAATTGTTGTTAGATCATAAGTATACTTAGGTACAGGTACACATAAGTACAATTGCCATAGATAGTAGCATGAGTAAATTACCTAAGATAACTCCCCCCCAAAAAGTCGGAAAAGTGACTTATTTCCACTGGGGTCGTAAATCGCTTGCATTAACTGTCGGAAAGTTGGAGGAGCCGGGAAAACCATCGACATTCACACAGGGAAGGGCATAGGGGTGATTGTATGTGAGTGGAAATCTCCCTTTTTGGCTGCGTGATCAAAATGATATTTAAAGGTTAAATAGAATTTGAACACCCGTGACCGTCTTCGTGGAAGTTTCGCTACTGCTGACTGCTTGCTCAGACGTTAACTGATGTTGCACATTATTACATGTGTTTGCTCCTACATATAAGGTTGATGGGAAGCCGCGGGATTAAAATCAAAGTTCTCAACCCTGTTTTCTGAATATGAAATGTTAATAAGAGGATAAATGAGTGTTTATGTTGAACATCCCTTCGAAGATTCTCTTCTGCAACTGTCTGATGAATTATAGAGAATACGTTTCGAACCTGGCAATCATCCTATCATCGCTGCTTTGTATTCACATCAATGTACTGCAACACTAGTTATCCTTTTTTTTTTTTTTTGAAGTCTCGACGATGAACTACATCAATCGCAATCCCCGGTGCTCCCAATGACTGAAAACTTGTCAGCGGCTTTAGCGTTGTCCATGTTGAGGTTCAGATAATCAGAGATTTTAACTCTGGTATGAGCGAACTGTTAAGGTTTTATTTACATACCATATAGATTTTTTTTTTACCATAGTCTTTAAGTTTCATGGGTTTGCATGTTTATTACATCATGTTGAATTTAATCTACTTTTCATGTGCCAATAATCTGTCCCCTCAAGATAATTGTAAGAAAATGAATGTTAAGTATACAACTCCAAAACAGATCTTATTTAAAGTCACTGTGACTTATTTCCGCAAAGGGTTGTATTCCTAAATGGTTCATCAGGACCAACACGGAAATAAAAGTATTGCATATCAAGTTTGATTTTTAATTTTAGGTACATGATACACATAAGTAGTATTTAAAGGAATGGTTACAACATATCTGTTGACAGGGTAACATATCCTTTAACAAGGTAACATAACTGTTGATGGGGTAACATAATTGTTGACAAGGTAACGTAACTGTTGACAGGGTAACAATTGTTAAGGTGACATGATTGTTGACAGGGTAACATAATTACTAACAAAATAACATGATTGTTGACAGGGTTATCATGAGTGGAGGAGGGGACGGGCTGGAGTCAGCGTCCCTGGTACGTCACAGTAGTGGAGTTGGACGCAGCTACATGTCTGAAAGTGGCATGCTGAGGGACGGTGAAGCAAGCAACAGTGGCAGTGCCGGAAGTGTAGGAGGAGGAGGCGGAGGAGGAGGCGGCGGAGGTGGAGGAGGAGGAGGAGGAGTAGGAGGAGGAGGAGTAGGTAGCAGAGCTGGCAGAGGAAGAGGTATAGGCAATGCTACAGAGGGCAGCTTAGAGGGAGCAGATGAGCTAGACTTCGTGGAGAGTGATTCTCCACTACTCTCGCAGTTCCACGAAGACGCCATCCAGCAGGTATGTCATGATCAATAATTTAAGACACGTTCATTAAGTAGATAAAATATACAGATATACAATTCAAAATACTGATTTAAAATTTATGAGTCTTGTAAATATTAATCTCAGTAACATAAATGCTAAATTTTTAAGTATTTATAAACAGTTCGCTAGCTATCCAAGCTGTATAAAAATATGAACATTTTTTTTTTAACTGTTATCAGTTGGGAAACCCATTAACATACTATTTTATTTTACACTATATTTTTTGGACAAATGTCCATCGTGTGTGAAAAAGAAATTCAGAGTTGAAGTTTTGTTACTCTCGACTATTACAAACTATTATAACCATTATTTAACTGGCAGAATAAAAGATGTTAGTGAAATAATGTGCTAGGAATCTAACTTTATGGTAAAATATAGATGTCACATAGTAACATTAGTCCTCAGATGTCACATAGAGTAACATTAGTCCTCAGATGTCACATAGAGTAACATTAGTCCTCAGATGTCACATAGAGTAACATTAGTCCTCAGATGTCACATAGAGTAACATTAGTCCTCAGATGTCACATAGAGTAACATTAGTCCTCAGATGTCACATGATAACAACATCAATCCTCATTATTATTATTATTATAATCAAGGGGAAGCGCTAAACCCATAGGATTATACAGCGCCTGTGGGGGATGTAGAAGGTATTCAGGCTTAATTCAGGAAACTGGAGCACAGAGCCAATTCCCTAGATCAAGAGCCCCTCACCAGCGTCAAGGAACCTTCTCTGAGGGGACATCAGTCCTCAGATGTCACAGAGTAATACAAGTTATGAAAAACATGGATGATCCACAGCAAGCAGTGGAAAACTTGAAATTTGATTAAGTCATTAACTTTGCAATTGTTTGTAATGTATAAACTACTAATTTAAAGACCCCACTACACCAAGTGGATTACCTTAATAATAGAAGAGAACAATTATTACGTAATTACATTGTAGCAAGACTAAAACTGGAATACAAGAATACAAACAAAAGCATTTATATTAATATATTATTGCAAAACAACCACTGTGAAAAAATATGGTGAAATTCCAAGTGCTTTCGTGATTTCTCACATTATCAAGGAACTGTAATAAAATAATAATAATAATAATAATAATAATAATAATAATAATAATAATAATAATAAATAATAATAATAATAATAATGGAACAGAAGGCTATAAAGACCGAGATATCACTTCACGGTCACGTCCTACATTACACCCGTCCCATTATGCTGCGGGTGGAATGGTCAAGGACTTGTCAGACATAGCTTAAATTCTTCCCAAATTTTATTATTCTAACTTTTCTAACATAGATTAGAATCATACAATTTGGGAAGAATTTTAGCTGTGCTTGACAAGTCCTTGACCATCCCACCCACATCAAAACTGGACGGATGTAATGTAGGACGTGACCGTTAAGTGATATCTCAGCCTACAATAGCCTTCTGCTGTTCTAATTACAGAGCCTTGATAATGTGAGAAATCACGAAAACGCTTGAAATTTCACTTATTTTTCACAGTGGTTGTTTTACATATTCTGATATCACCTGTTGAAAACTGTGATCATATTGCATTAATGTATTATTGTAAGATGGAGACCAGTTGAATCACTGACCGGAACACTAGGCTGAGAGAAGCAGCACTTGATTCCCACTTACTAGCAGCTAGTAGTCACATGCAGTTCTCTATACTGTTGTACTAACTAGTGGCTACTAATGTAGCGGTAACTAGTTAGTGGTCACATGCATCTACCCACACTGCTGCACTAACTAGTATCTAGTGATCCCATGCAGCTGCAAACACTGCTGCCCTATTAGGAGCAAGCAAACACATGCAGCTGTCCACACTGCTGCACTAACTAGTGACTATCGGTCCCATGCAGCGGCAGACACTACTGCACTAACTAGTGACTAGCAGTCAGATGCAGCAGTCCACACTGCTAAACTAGTGATCACATGCTGCACTAGCTAGTATTAACTACTTATCAACATTGTGCCTATACTTTGAACTCATCTGTACCACGTTTTAACTTTATTTCCAATTTAGTACTTGTTTTCACCTATTTATATGTTCCTTTCTTTCAAGTTTATAATGCTCATGTGCTCTCTGTGGTAAACCTTTGTTTTTTTTTCAGTGACTGAGTTTATCCTAGTTAAGTCACATTCCGCCTCTTACTGAGTTTATCCTTGTTTCGTTAATTCACATCTTGTATTTCAATGACTGAATTTACCGGATAAAATGCCTCCAGTATATAATTATGTATTGAATGGAAAAAGCCACTGGATTGAGAAACATCTTTAAAGTAAAGATAGCCAGGTGTTACACATGTCTTAATTATCAGTTTCTCTGCATTGTACACCACTAATGCAATACTTCACTTACCAAGTTTATTTTTAAAGTAGAAGGTTAATATTGACGTGTGTTCAGGCGGGTACAGGGCCATTCCAGCGATTGTTGTTGCTGGTCACAGGGTTGAGCCTCGCTGCTGACACTATTGAGCTCCTTGTAGTGGCTTATGTGATACCTTCTGCAGAGGTGGAGCTGTGTATGTCTGGCACACAGAAAGGCTGGCTAGGTGAGATTTTATTATTCATTTGCATATTTGCATGTCATTTTTTAAATAAAAATATTTTACATCAATCCATGTGATATTCGTATTTACTACGACGATTTAAGCAGATAATTAATAAACACTGTATTCTTAGAAATTGCTACTGTCAATAATTAACTTTTAATATGTACCTTTCATATATTTTCGGTATTTGCCTTAAAAATGTGTTAATTTTCCTGTCAGTGTTACATATTCAACCGCAATTTTTGACACTAAAAACGGTAATTTATTACCATGTCATGCTCAACGTTATTTTGCACTCTTGATATAAATTTTAGGCATAATGTCATGAGGTGTTATGGTTTATCGTGCAAAAACACTCGACCTGTTCAATGATTGATTATAATTCCCAATATCTAGCACTTCGCTCAATTCCAAATTATGTTCACACGCCTCAGGCTAGCCCCATTTATATAACAAAAAGTATTTTATGTTGACTGTTAGAAGTAGGAAAAAATAAGTAATTTACTAGAACAGGTTGCCTGTATATGTGAACTAAGAAGCAAGTTAGGTAGTGAGTAATGAAGAAACATAGTAACTACATGTAGTCACAGCTTAGCGGGCTGCCTTCTCACCTGGAACAGGTGATCCACCAATATTCTCTATCCTTATAATGATTGTGGACTAATTTGGCATTGAAAATACCACAACAGTAGCCAACCTGTTCCTTGTGGAAAAACTTAAAGTATGGTTTCAGTCAAACCATTTCAGTTGCAAGTCTGAAGACAATCATGTGTGCACCAGAACTCTGCTTCGAAGTCGCATCGTTTAAAAAAGTCGTCCTCAGCACCATTGTACTTTAAGAAATTCTATCTGTGGCATCATCTAAGCCATCGGTCCAAGGAAAAAAAAGAGTAATATTGATACCCTCCCCAAGGGGTGATAAATGTGGTCAAGCGGTAGTTTGACTCATCCAGTTCCACCTAGTAAAACTTAGAATACGTGTCAACCACAGTTAGGAGATAATTAGAGCGTAGAACACTTACCACGTCACAAGGAACCTGCTTGTGGGGCTTCTCCCTCCTACATCTAGCATTAATATACCGGAAATCCATACTGCAGCAGAGTTCTTAACGAAAAACATCTACACGTTAACCAGTCTTCATGCAGTGTTCTGTGGCGTCACCTGCAGGAAGAGGCTGCTGAATGTCATGCAAATCTTCATTTAGTTGTTGCTTAACCTCTTCCATTGCTTATAAATTGACATCAGACACAAACTGAAAAATGGCAAGCAGGGCGAGTTCAGTGGTTGAGGGGTTGCTTGCTCCTTACACCCCTGCAAGTGAAAACTTGACAGTTTCAAGACCTGCCAAACAGATTTCCACATGTGTCCGCTACCGCTGATATCGGGTGTTAAATTGATTCGGTAGTATGCTATAGAGGCCTTCAGGCATGTGAGCTCCTCATGGCTGCGTTGATTCTTTTGTCCTTCAAGGAACCGACTTTTTATCTTACATTTCAGAAAATTAATCGAATATAGTCTTTTGATTACAAATTTTAAAATGCTATGCTCTGGCACATCTTGCGAAGGAGAATAGTTGCTGTGAGTTTATTAAAGATCAATCTATTGAAACTTAGGAGATTAATTGATCTATATATTTCGATCCCCTTCCGGGATCCTCTTCCCAGAAGTGGGACGAAATATACAGATCAATTAATTTTCTGAGTTTCTGGCTCCATGTGTGTTATTATTGAGCATTGACAAGTGTTCATTACATTTCAGTTTTTATCAGTCTATTGGTTTACATGACGTCTGTGAGACTAGCTTCCCCAGATCCGTCTGTACTGTAGTACAGAAAAAACTACATTTCGAAAAATTAAATTCATCGAAGCCTCCTTCCTATGGACAATTTTTCCAAATTTATGAAATAATAATAATAATAAATAATAATAATAATAATAATAATAATAATAATAATAATAATAATAATAATACTTTAAGCTATATAGAATTGGTTGATTATTACTATATAGTGATTAACTTATAAATTTATATTACTACAGCATAATTTGTGTACTGTAAGATGCATCTGCTCTTCAGCGGCAATCACATTCATTGGGATGATGATTGGAGCCATGATCTGGGGCAGTCTGAGCGACAACGTGGGTCGTCGGCGAGCTCTCCTCTCAGCTCTCTTTGTCAACGCTCTCTTCGGTATTATGACAGCTTTCATGCCCACATATGGCATCTTTATGACCACAAGACTATGCTCTGGCATTGGGTAAGGAAAAAATAAAAATATATTCTAAGTTTCATAATATATATATATATATATATATATATATATATATATATATATATATATATATATATATATATATATATATATATATTATATATATATAATAATGTCGTGCCGAATATGTAAAACTGGTCAATTAGCAAGAACTCATTTAAAATTAAGTCCTTTCTAAAATTTTCTCTTATACGTTTAAAGATATATTTTTTTCATTAATGTTAAAGAAATTTTTTTTTTAATTTTGCTCCAAAAAAATCTTAGAAAACTTACCTAACCTTATTATAACAAGAACAATTTATTTTAAACCTAACCCAACTAAATATAATTTAGATTTGTTTACAATAATTTAATACTAAAGAAACACAGTGAAATATATTTTTTTCGTTAAGTTCAGAATGATTTTGGCGAAATTATTGCATACACAAATTTTCGCTTGTCCTATATGGCAAGATGAGCGTTGCTATTTAAGCCAAGATCGCAAGTTCTGCCTATTCGGCACGACATATATATATATGTCGTGCCGAATAGGCAGAACTTGCGATCTTGGCTTAAATAGCAACGCTCATCTTGCCATATAGGACAAGTATAAATTTGTATATGCAATAATTTCGCCAAAATAATTCAAACCTTGGCGAAAAAAATAATATTTCACTGTGTTTGTTTAGTATTAATTATCGTAAACAAATCTAAAATATATTAGGTTGGGTTAGGCTAAATAAATTGTTCTTGTTATAATAAGGTTAGGTAAGTTTTCTAAGTTCCTTTGTGGAAAATTATAAATTTTTACATCAACATTAATGAAAAAATATATCTTTAAACGTAATAAGAGAAAATTTTAGAAAGGACTTAATTTTAAATGAGTTCTTGCTAATTGGCCAGTTTTACATATTCGGCACGACATATATATATAATATAATATATATATATATAAATATATAATATATTATATATATATATATATTGCTAAGAATTCGCAAGAACAGGCGAAATATTCACAAAGACTGATTTCTGGCTGAAGGAGACTCGAACCTACGAACCTTGGAACAAGGTACGCAGTGCTATACCAACCTAGCTACACTGGTCCAATACCCTGACGTCTAGCGTGAGGTAGACGTTGATCCAAGGCAACCAGCTTTCAAGCAGGAGGCTTACAGCTTTTCATCTCATCCCCTGCATGCATCAGCCTTACTAGAGATTTTAACAGTGCTAGGAATTCGCAAGAACAGGCGATATATTCACAAACACTGATCTCTGGCCGAATAGGTAAAATTGGCAAGAACTCATTTAAAATTAACTCCTGTCTAAAATTTTCTCTTATACATTTAAAGATATATTTTTCATTCATGTTAATATAAAAAATAATGATTTTGCACCAAAAGAACCTTAGGAAACTTACCTAACTTTATTATAACAAGCGCAATTTAATTTAGCTTAATTCAACTAAATATATTTATATAAGTTTACAATAATTTAATAATAAACAAGCACGATGAAATATATTTTTTTCGTTGATTTCAGAATGATTTTTTGCGAAATTATTGCAAACAAAATTTTGCTTGTCTTATTCGGTAAGAAGAGCGTTGCTGTTTAAGCCAAAATCGCAAGTTTTACCTATTCGACGTGACACACACACACACAGTAGGTACAGTTCAGTCTGGGGAACATGAAGTAGTCATTGGAGTGATGTATAACCCACCACAGAACTGCAAGAGGCCAAGAGAGGAGTACGAAGAAAACAACAAAGCGATGGTGGACACACTGGCTGAGGTGGCAGGAAGAGCTCACTCGAGCAGAGCAAAGTTACTGGTTATGGGCGATTTCAACCACAGGGAGATCGACTGGGAAAACCTGGAGCTACATGGGGGTCCCGAAACATGGAGAGCCAAGATGATGGATGTGGTACTGGAAAACCTCATGCATCAACATGTCAGGGACACAACCAGAGAGAGAGGGGAGGATGAACCAGCAAGACTGGACCTTGGGTTCACCTTGAGCAGTTCAGACATTGAGGATATCACTTACGAGAGGCAACTTGGAGCTAGCGATCACGTGGTTCTGAGTTTTGAATATATTGTAGAATTACAAATGGAGAGGGTAACAGGAATTGAATGGGAAAAGCCAAACTATAAAAGGGGGGACTACACAGGTATGAGGAACTTCCTGCAGAAGGTTCAGTGGGACAGAGAACTGGTACGAAAGTCAATAAACGAGATGATGGAATATGTAACAACAAAATGCAAGGAGGCAGAGGAAAGGTTTGTTCCCAAGGGCAACAGAAATAATGGGAAGACCAAAGCGAGTCCTTGGTTTACCCAAAGGTGTAGGGAGGCAAAAACTAAGTGCACCAGAGAATGGAAAAGGTACAGGAGGCAAAGGACCCAGGAAAATAAGGAGATTAGTCGAAGAGCCAGAAACGAGTATGCACAGGTAATGAGAGAGGCCCAGCAACAGTACAAAAACGACACAGCATTGAAAGTCAAGTCTGACCCGAAAATGCTGTATAGCCACATTAGGAGGAAGACAACAGTCAAAGACCAGGTGATCAGGCTGAGGAAAGAAGATGGGGAACTCACAAGAAACGATCAAGAGGTATGTGAGGAGCTCAACATAAGATTTAAGGAAGTATTTACAATGGAGACAGGAAGGCCTCTGGGAGGACAGAAAAGAGGGGGACACCAGCAAGGAATATACCAACAAGTGTTGGATGACATACATACAACTGAGGAGGAGGTGAAGAAGCTGCTAAGGGACATTGATACCTCAAAGGCAATGGGATCGGACATCTCCCCGGGGTCCTTAGACGGAGTGAATATGCTGTATGTGCCATTTACCATAATTTTCAACACATCCCTTGAAACTGGACAACTACCCGAGGTATGGAATACGGCAAATGTAGTTCCATTTTTAAAAAGGGAGACAGAAAAGAGGCACTAAACTATAGATCAGTGTCACTGACGTGTATAGTATGCAAAGTCATGGAGAAGATTATCAGGAGGAGAGTGGTGGAGCACCTGGAACGGAACAAGTATAAATGCTAACCAGCACGGATTTATGGAAGGCAAATCCTGTGTCACAAACCCTCTGGAGTTTTATGATAAAGTAACAGAAATAAGACATGAGAGAGAGGGATGGGTTGATTGCATCTTCTTGGACTGCAAGAACGCCTTTGACACAATTCCTCACAAGAGATTAGTGCAGAAGCTAGAGGATCAGGCACGTATAACAGGAAGGGCACTGCAATGGATCAGAGAATACCTGACAGGGAGGCAACAACGAGTCATGGTACGTGATGAGGTATCACAGTGGGCACATGTGACGACCGGGGTCCCACAAGGGTCGGTCCTAGGACCAGTGCTATTTTTGGTATATGTGAATAATACGATGGAAGCGTTAGACTCAGAAGTGTCCCTGTTTGCAGATGATGTGAAGTTAATGAGGAGAATTAAATCAGATGAGGATGAGGCAGGACTTCAAAGAAACTTGGACAGACTGGACACCTGGTCCAGCAACTGGCTTCTCGAATTTAACCCCGCCAAATACAAAGTCATGAAGATCGGGGAAGGGCACAGAGGACCGCAGACGGAATATAGGCTAAGTGGCCAAAGACTGCAAACCTCGTTCAAGGAGAAAGATCTTGGGGTGAGTATAACACCGAGCACGTCTCCGGAAGCACATATCAACCAGATGACTGCTGCAGCATATGGGCGCCTGGCAAACCTGAGAACAGCGTTCCGATACCATAGTAAGGAATCGTTCAAGACGCTGTACACCGTGTACGTCAGGCCCGTACTGGAGTATGCAGCACCTGTTTAGAACCCACACTTAATCAAGCACGTCAAGAAATTAGAGAAAGTGCAAAGGTTTGCGACAAGGTTAGTTCCTCAGCTAAGGGGAAGCACACATCAATCAGATAACTGCTGCAGCATATGGGCGCCTGGCAAACCTGAGAACAGCATTCCGATACCTTAGTAAGGAATCATTCAAGACACTGTACACCGTGTATGTCAGGCCCATACTGGAGTATGCAGCACCTGTTTGGAACCCGCACTTGATAAAGCACGTCAAGAAACTTGAGAAAGTACAAAGGTTTGCGACAAGGTTAGTTCCAGAGCTAAGGGGAATGTCCTATGAAGAAAGATTAAGGGAAATCGGCCTGACGACACTGGAGGACAGGAGGGTCAGGGGAGACATGATAACGACATATAAAATACTGCGTGGAATAGACAAGGTGGACAAAGACAGGATGTTCCAGGGAGGGGACACAGAAACAAGAGGCCACAATTGGAAGTTGAAGACACAAATGAGTCAGAGAGATAGTAGGAAGTATTTCTTCAGTCATAGAGTTGTAAGGCAGTGGAATAGCCTAGAAAATGACGTAGTGGAGGCAGGAACCATACACAGTTTTAAGACGAGGTTTGATAAAGCTCATGGAGCGGGGAGAGAGAGGGCCCAGTAGCAACCGGTGAAGAGGCGGGGCCAGGAGCTAAGACTCGACCCCTGCAACCACAAATAGGTGAGTGAGTGAGTACACACACAACGAGAGTGGTGGAGCACCTGGAACAGAACAAAATTATAAACGACAGTCAGCACGGATTCATGGAAGGCAAATCCTGTGTTGCAAACCTCCTGGAGTTTTATGATAAAGTAACAGAAGTAAGACACGAGAGAGAGGGGGGTGGGTTGATTGCATTTTCTTGGACTGCAAGAAGGCCTTCGACAAAGTTCCACACAAGAGACTAGTGCAGAAGCTAGAGGATCAGGCGCGTGTAACAGGAAGGGCACTGCAATGGATCAGAGAATACCTGACAGGGAGGCAACAATGAGTCATGGTACGTTATGAGGTATCACGGTGGGCACCAGTGACAAGCGGGGTCCCACAGGGGTCGTTCCTAGAACCAGTGCTATTTTTGGTATATGTGAATGACATAAAGGAAGGGATGGACTTAGAAGTGTCCCTGTTCGCAGATGATGTAAAGTTAATGAGGAGAATTAGATCAGATGTGGATTAGGCAGGACTTCAAAGAGACCTGGACAGGCTGGACACCTGGTCCAGCAACTGGCTTCTCGAATTTAACCTCGCCAAATGCAAAGTCATGAAGATCGAGGAAGGGCAAAGAAGACCACAGACATAGTATAGGCTAGGTGGCCAAAGACTACAAACTTCACTCAAGGAGAAAGATCTCGGGGTGAGTATAACACCGAGCACGTCTCCGGAAGCACACATTAACCAGGTAACTGCTGCAGCATATGGGCGCCTGGCAAACCTGATAATAGCGTTCTGATACCTTAGTAAGGAATCGTTCAAGACACTGTACACCGTGTACGTCAGGCCCATACTGGAGTATGCAGCACCAGTTTGGAACCCACACCGGGTCAAGCACGTCAAGAAATTAGAGAAAGTGCAAAGGTTTGCAACAAGGTTAGTTCCAGAGCTAAGGGAAATGTCCTACGAAGAAAAGTTAAGGGAAATCGGCCTGACGACACTGGACGACAGGAGGGTCAGGGAGACATGATAACGACATACAAAATACTGCATGGAATAGACAAGGTAGACAGGAACAGGATGTTCCAGAGAGGGGACACAGAAACAAATGGTCACACTTGGAAGTTGAAGACTCAGATGAGTCAAAGGGATGTTAGGAAGTATTTCTTCAGTCATTGAGCAGTCAGGAAGTGGAACAGTCTAGCAAGTGATGTAGTGGAGGCAGGGACCATACATAGCTTTAAGACGAGGTATGATAAAGTTCATGGAGCAGGGAGAGAGAGGATCTAGTACCATTCAGTGAAGAGGCGGGGCCAGGAGCTGAGTTTCGACCCCTGCAACCACAATTAGGTGAAAGATGGGGCGGATGCAAGACGACAGTGCAACACTTCCTTTGACCACGGCAACTACGTGAGGACTGAGGAGTCACTGTGGAGTGTGGCAGCAGGCCGTGACATCGTGCTAACGGCTGCTACCCGGCATAATGCACTGACGAAAAAAGACCCCTCCTGTATGGTGGGCATTTGATTTTCATCATGGAATTATGCTGGGGTGCTCCTCCGGCATAATGCCATGACTGGCACTGTATGTGCACCACAGAGTCACTAATATGCTCGGAACTACTAAATGCCTCAAATGATGTAGCTAAAGTTTTGGCAGTAAAGATCGAGAACGGAAACCTGGTCATTGTGGTTGTATACAAGCCTCTGGATGCAACTTCCCAACAATTCCAGGAACAGCTTTTGAAAATTGATCACTGTCTGGATAATCTTCCAGCTTCTGCACCCAACCAGGCTGTGGTTGGTACGTCAGTTTACGTGCGGCCAGCAGTAACAGCCTGATCGATCAGACCCTGATCCACCATGAGGCCTGGTCTCAGACTGGGCCACGGGGGAGCTGACCCCTGAAACCCTCTCCAGGTAAACATCTTGCTCCTAAGGGATTTCAACCTAAGGCACCTAAAATGGAGAAATGTAACAAATAATGTTGTAGCAGAGATAACACCAGGAGGCAGCTCAGATGAAAACTCGCACACATACGAGCACCAAATTCACCCTAAACCAGCAAATAACAGAGCCTACAAGATTGGAGAATACACTGGACCTCATCTTTACTAACAATGATGATCTGATACGAAATATTACCATATCAAAAACATTATATTCAGATCACAACATAATAAAGGTACAGACAAGTATGTGTGGGGCCCCAGACTGACAAAATGTGATCAGTCACGAGGGAGCATTCACCAAATTCAGCTTCAATAACAAAAACATAAGTTGGGACCAAGTAAACCAGGCCCTAAGTGATATAAACTGTGAAGATAGCCTAAGCAACACGGATCCAAACGTATGTCTAGAACAGATTAACTCTGTGGCACTCGAGGTATGCTCAAGGCATATTCCTTTAAGGAAAAGAATGAGATGTAAACTAGAAAGAGAAAGGCGCTCCCTATACAGGCAAAGGCAAAGAATAACAGAGCGACTAAAAGAGACCAATATATCTGCAATACGTAAGGAGACACTGGTCAGAGAAATAGCAAACATCAAACTAAAGTTAAAGGAACCTAAAATATTTCTTTTCTTATGCCAAATCGAAGTCGAGAACAACATTCAGTATTGGGCCCTTACTTAGACGAGATGGGTCCTACACAGTTGACAACAAGGAAATGAGTGAGCTACTCAAGTCCCAATATGACTCGGTTTTTAGCGAGCAGCTAACCAGACTGAGAGTTGATGACGTAAATGAATTTTTTATGAGAGAGACAGAATTTGGTAGACTCGAACCTATCTGATGTTATCCTGACGCCAAATGACCTTGAAAAGGCGACAAATGACATGCCCATGCACTCTGTCCCAGGCCCAGACTCGTGGAACTCCGTGTTCATCAAGAACTGCAAGAAGCCCCCTATCATGTGCTTTGAACATCCTATGGAGAGGGAGCATGGACACGGGGGTCGTCCTTCCCACAAAAAAAGTCTTTGAAAGCTTTGCTCAGACCTCTACAGCACAATTTTTCTCAAAGATTTGTTAAGTTATACCATGAATTAATGAAAGATCCTAGAATTCACCTTACGAAAGCAGACAAAGCAAATGCGATAGCAATTATGGACAAGGTAGATTATAGTGGAAAAATATACTTGATATTACGAGACAAGGAAACTAATGCGCCTCTTAAGGTTTCCCGCAAGTTCCTTCCTCATGAACTAACTTAAAACTATTGATTTCCAGAGTTCAGCTGAATTCAGTTTTTTCATGGTTAGTTGTAACATGACACTGTGCTGCAATTTGTTAAGTAGGTTGTCATTTATTTACTATTTTTTTACATATTTTGTGGAAAATATGAAAATATGATCGGAGGATCTCACCTTCAAAGACCATAACATTGTATCAATCGCATCTGCTAGAAAAATGACAGGATGGATAATGAGAACCTTCAAAACTAGGGAGGCCAAGCCCATGATGACACTCTTCAGGTCACTTGTTCTATCTTGGCTGGAATATTGCTGCACGCTAACAGCACCTTTCAAGGCAGGTGAAATTGCCGACCTAGAAAATGTACAGAGAACTTTCACGGCGCGCATAACGGAGATAAAATACCTCAATTACTGGGAGCGCTTGAGGTTCCTAAACCTGTATTCCCTGGAACGCAGGAGGGAGAGATACATGATTATATACACCTGGAAAATCCTAGAGGGACTAGTACCGAACTTGCACACGAAAAAATCACTCACTACGAAAGCAAAAGACTTGGCAGACGATGCACCATCCCCCAATGAAAAGCAGGGGTGTCACTAGCACGTTAAGAGACCATACAATAAGTGTCAGGGGCCCGAGACTGTTCAACTGCCTCCCAGCACACATAAGGGGGATTACCAACAGACCCCTGGCAGTCTTCAAGCTGGCACTGGACAAGCACCTAAAGTCGGTTCCTGATCAGCAGGGCTGTGGCTCGTACGTTGGTTTGCGTGCAGCCAGCAGCAACAGCCTGGTTGATCAGGCTCTGATCCACCAGGAGGCCTGGTCACAGACCGGGCCGCGGGGGCGTTGACCCCCGGAACTCTCTCCAGGTAAACTCCAGGTACATTTGTGTGTGTGTGTGTGTATATATATAATATATATATAATATATATATATATATATATATATAATATATATATATATATATATATATATATATATATATATATATATATGTCGTGCCGAATATGTAAAACTGGTCAATTAGCAAGAACTCATTTAAAATTAAGTCCTTTCTGAAACTTTCTCTTATACGTTTAAAGATATATTTTTTTCATTAATGTTAATGTAAAAAAATTAATTTTGCACCAAAAGAATCTTTGAAAACTTACCTAACCTTATTATAACAAGAATAATTTATTTTAGCCTAACCCAACTATATATATTTTAGATTTGTTTACAGTAATTTAATATATATATATATATATATATATATATATATATATATATATATATATATATATATATATATATATATATATATATACTGTTACGGTAAATACACTAGAAGTTGTGTATAAATGTACATACGCTGAAAGTTGACTTTAATCTTTATTTTAGGAATTAAAATATTCTTGCATCGTGTAGTAGATAGGGTTTAAGCTCCATTAAGCAACCAGTCTGTATAAATATATTTTAGTCTTGCTATTTGCTAATCTTTAAGTTATTAATTAAAGAGTCATTCTTCTTCTAGAATTGGTGGTGGGATCCCAATTGTGTTTGCTTACTACTGCGAGTTTGTGACACAACCAGAACGAGGCCGCCACTTGTCATGGTTGTTGGTGTTCTGGGCGATTGGTGGAGTGTTCACAGCACTGATGGCCTGGATCATTATACCAAGAACAGGTGAGAAGTTTTACCTGTCATACAGATAACAGTAGCTACACAATAATAGTAAAAATCTTTATTTACTACAAATACACGTTATACAGTCCTAGCTGACATCAATGACATATTACTATATAAAAGCCTCTTGTTATGCTGAGCATTTCGGACAAATTAGGTCAGTGTCCCAGGATGCGACCTACACCAGTAGACTAACACCCAGGTACCCATTTTACTGATGAGGAACCTAGACAATAGGTGTAAAGAAACACGTCTAATGTTTTCTACCCTAGCTGGGAATCGAACTTAGCCCTCGCTATGTGAAGCGAGAGCTTTATCCACCAGAGCCTCCAATGTGATTTGTGTGTTAATAATAATACAAATTTTCTACAGTATTATTCTTAAACCAAATATATTCAAGAATTCATCTGTTACATGTAGTTCTCAGTTTTATTTCTGTATTAGATATATTGTGTATCATTACGCCGCTGGTTGGTTCTCTTGTTTTTAATTTTGTAGTGAACTGGGAGTGGTCACCCGTGAGTCCTCATGAACCCTACGGCATGACGATCGTTTTTGTTAATTAGTTACTAATTTTTGTAAGAAATATGAAATAAATTCAAGTAAATAAGAATATTCGGTGTTTTACATAGCATCAATCATGTATATTGAACAAAAGTTTTCATTGTATTGTGTAGTGTATGTATATTCTGCTAACGTGACTTATCGTATTCCTTTTTGTAACTAATTCATTACACTACTCTTACACTCCTTTATCTCAGTGTTCCTTGTACATTATGTGTCCTGAACCGCATTTTATAACAAGTGAAAAAATAATATGAATAAGATATAAAGTATAACAGAAAAGTGAGTTTAATTAGATACAACTTTACAAAATTATCTAGGATAACCCCAAAAAAGTCAAAGTGACGTATTTCCATAGGGGTTCTTGACAGCAAAAACAATTATTTTATTAGGTTTATTAAGCCAGTCTTTGCAGCTCCGATTGCTTTAACAGCCTTTGCATTTTCATAATGCTGTCTCGTGCCATTTTTGTTACAAGGGTCAACTTGACTGGACGTATTTTGCCCCTCGACTACCTTCCCAGTCTCTGAAAAGTTGTAACCTGGTGCACCTCTTCCTTCCCACCTGCCAGTCCAGTGTTGACTTTAGTCTTCCCTTCCTCAGCTATTCAGATTTCATCCCAGGTTCACCTAGTGTTAGTAATTCAGGATAACCCAGTGGGTTAATAGCCCATGATAACCCAAAGGATTAGTAATCCAGGATAACCCAGAAGGCTAATAACTTAGGATTATCCATTGGGCTAGTAACCCAGGATAATTCAGTAAGTAAATCTTACGTAATGAGACCATGTGTTAGAATGACTGCTAGGTTCATTTAGGTTCAGTTCGTAATTGAATTTGAAAGAGGTAAACTTTTGCTTCATAAAGTATACTGCAAAAAATTACGTCAAATCCCTCATCCTTGTCATATGCTTACTTTGGACTTTTATGAGTTGCCAGTTCTTAATAGGTGAATCTTGACATAAAGAGTTGTAGCTACCCTCCATTTTCTTGGGTCATATCTGATTGGCTACCATTTCCCAGGGGCTGTATAACCCGTGTGGGTTTAGCGCTTTCTTTTGGATATAATGATAGAGGATGATCCGTCTGTTTATTTTTTTAATGTGAAATAAGTGGAAGGGTAACAGATGTAATTATGTGTTGACAGGTATTACGGTTGTGTTGGATGAAGAACATCACTTCAGCTCGTGGCGTGTGTTCCTTGTTGTGTGTTCGCTGCCTTCATTCGGGGCTGTAATTGGTCTATATTTCATGCCTGAGTCTCCTCGCTTCTTGCTGGAGAAAGGACGGGAAGTAGAGGCAATGATAGTATACAAGGTATGTGACTCGCTACACACTTAATTCATTAACTTACTGCGTGTATTTAGACTCATTGCTCATCACTGGTGTAACCATCAATATACAAGTAATTTTCTTGGATTTTATCTTGGTCCAACTTCAAGAAGTGTTAAACACACATCATCACATTATATATAAGTTTGAGAATTATTTGTGTAATTATTCTTTCTGATAAATTAATTCAGTTACCAGGAGGTATTACAGAAATTTAATGTGAAAATACGTAATGTAACGAAGATTGAGACTGATATAACTCTTCTTTTTAGAAACAAAATTCTATTGGTTTTTGATGGGTTACAATTGCTAATAGTATATATATCTACCCAGCATTCCTATAAAAACACTAAATTTTTTTTTTATCTTTTGCTAGTTTTTGTGACTTTTTTCATATGTGAACTAGACCACGATAAACTTGTATTCATTTTTAAATATTTATTATTTTAGATAATTCAATGAAAAATGAGGACAAAAATATAAGGAAACAAGTGAAACCATTTTAAAATGCACGAAAAACAAATATGGATAGACAATAAAGTTGTGTGTTGATCATGGTGAGTTGCGGGAAATTCTGCATGACTCAATCCATTTCATAGAATAATGCATATTTCTTTCATAGATTGGATTAAAAACAAAAGGAAATTTGACAGTGAATTTATCTCAAAAGCGCCATGCATTATGATATTTTTCCTTCTTGTTTGTGCAGAAAATCTTCAAATGGAACAATGCTAATAATCCTGGCGCAGAGTACCAATTAACAGAGCTGGAGTTGCCATCAGGGCCCCACCGACCTCTCAGACACAACCCTCCCCAGGGAGTTGGCAAGAACTTCGTGTCTGATATCTCCTATGGGTTGGAGCAAGTGAGTGTCTCTTCATTTTATTAAGATAAGATAAGATAAGATTTCGTTCGGATTTTTAACCCCGGGGGCTTAGTCACCCAGGATAACCCAAGAAAGTCAGTGCGTCATCGAGGACTGTCTTATTTCCATTGGGGTCCTCAATCTTGTCCCCAAGGATGCGATCCACACCAGTCGACTAACACCCAGGTACCTATTTGCTGCTAAGTGAACAGGACAACAGGTGTAAGGAAGCACGTCGAAATGTTTCCACCTGCCGGGAATTGAACCCGAGCCCTCCGTGTGTGAAGCGAGAGCTTTAACCACCAGGCTATTTATTATAGATAAATGGTTCACAGTACCGACAAGTCGATAAATTAACACATGCAACACTTCTGTATCTTTATTGTGGAAAAGTTTCGCCACAAAGTGGCCTCATCAGTCCATATTATGCAGTGCTGCAGTAAAAATACTGTATAAAAAAATGCTCCATATATGTCATTTTCCGGGATTGTTCTGAAGCCCGATGCGTATTATTGCTGGTCAGGCAGAGTGGCTAGGAGAGAGGATAGTGAGGTGTTTTGTGCAGTAGGTGAAGCACAGCAGAGGGAGCAAGATGTAGTGTGAGTAGGTGAATGGGTGAGTTTTTTTTTTAGTGTATACTATAGGTAATTTTATTTGTGTTGAAGTGCTCTCATGTTTACATGTAAGACCCTAGTGTGCAGAGGCCTGTTTAAGTTTTGGGAGAGTACTCTATAGTGTTTTTGCCTGGTGGTAGACAGACCACTAGTAGCAGAGTGCCAGTGAACTAATGTCAGTACAGTGGACCCTTGGTTTTCGTGTTTAATCCATTCTAGAGCCATCAGCCAAAGCCAAAATCGGCCAAAACTGAAACCATTTTCCCGATAAGAAATAATGTAAATGGAATTAATCCATTCCAGACACCAAGAAGTATCAACAAAATTTTTTTACCTTAAATATACATTTACATGCACAAAAAGAATGAATATTAAACATGGCACTTACCTTTATTGAAGGCTATTGTTGCTGGAAGGAAGACAGGGATGAAGGGAGAGGGAAGATAGGTTATTGTTTGGAAGGGGAATCCCCCTCCGTAAGGACTCTAGGTACCAAGTCCTTATCTGGGGTCACTTCCCTCCTTTGTTTTTCACTGTCACTAGGACCAGCTTGAGAGTCACTGGACCCCTGTCGCACGAAATATCTGTCCAGTTAGGTCTGTTTCTGGTGTCTCTTTAAGATCTGCCTAAAATGGGACATGGCATTGTCATTGTAAAAGTCACCAGCATGGATTGCAACAGCTTTCTCAGGGTGATGTCGTTCCACAAATGAATGCACTTTAGTCCACATTGCACAAATCTTCTTAATCTTTGAGGAAGGTACCTTCTTCCATCTCCCTTCCTCCTCTGAAGCAATTTCCTTTTGGACACAATCTGGCCACAATTTTCTCCAAGCAGAGTTCATTGTCCTGGAAGTCACTCCCTGCCAAGCCTTATCTATAAAGCCTATGTAGTGGAAGATATTGAAGTGATTCTTCCAGAACTCTCTTAGGGTCAAAGAACTGGGTCTAGGAGCTTTCTTTGGGGCCATGGTCGCTTATTTAGCAGTCACACAGGATAAACAAGTGGCAAAAACAATGGATTATTATGAAATGTTTCATATGACCGGGAAGGATATATTCACTGGCCGAGAAACAATGCTACACTGGCTGAGAATTGCGTGTGGGAGGCGGCTTTGCCTGGGGACTGGACAAGTTCTGTACGATCGACGAAAACGAAGGTAACTGACGAAAACTAAAGGCAAAACTCGACGAAAAAAGTACCCCAAAACCGAAATCAGCTATAACTAAGATCGACGAAAACCAATGGTCCACTGTACTGGTTAAAGGTGAACTGAGTGTGGTGATGTTGGTTGTAGTGGAGTAGATTGTAGGTTGTACGTATATACGTTACTATTAATATATTATATATTTTTGTGTCCTTCCATATAATAATAATATTGACTAATTAACGTTCCATATTTAATGTGAAGGTGCAAGTTGACCCTAGAGTGGTTTCTTTTTAAATGTTAAATAATTTAAATGCTCCTGGACTTGCCAGGTCATTTACCCTTTAGAAGCCAGGACTTTTTATTTAAGTTACACAACCAAAAACGTAACAGTCCAGTACAAAGAATACAAAGTCCAATACAAAGAAGAATAGTGAAGATCACAAGGACGTTGTGGTAATCAGTCCCTCAGGCTGGAGTCGTGTAATCTGTCCATCAATTTTCAGGTGTTGCACATGTGTCTAATTTATCATTACTATTTGTTAATGAGGCATTTATAGGTTCTTTTGTGAGTTTTTGTATGAAGTTATTTGCATTTACTACCTCATAGATTTATAGTACTGTAACCATGAACAAGTGGTATTTAATCAATAACAACACTGCAACTAGCTGAGGATTCGAACCCGTGTTGTTTTAGCTCACCTCATGGTGAGCGAAAATTCACGATGCTCTAATGCATGGGACCATACAATCCTACAAGAATCATGCACCCAGAAGAGCTAGGTGTTGTGCTGTGATCCGAGGACATACTATGGTGTGGGTGCTTCAGAGCTAATTTCATCCTCCTCCCCGTTTTGGTGTACTAGCCTCCAAAAGCAGTATGTATAGTATTGTAAACACAAACAAGTGATATTTAATCAATAACAGAACTGCATATAGCCGAGGATTCAAACCTGTGTCATTTTAGCCCGCCTCATAGTGAGCGAAAATTCACGATGCTCTAACCAACGGGACCATACAATTCTACAAGAATCACACACTCAGCAGAGCTAGGTGTTGTACCGTAATCCGAGGACATATGATAGTGTGGGTGCTTCAGAGTTAATTTCATTCTCCCTTCCTGTAAGGTTTTTCACCCTGAAATGTGTCCCTCTTCAGTACATGAAAGATGTGCTATAACTTAAATTGCCAGGCACACCATCTAAAGGGGACAAAAGGATACGAAACATCCAGGCCATGGGAAAACCTGGGTAGCCACAGCCACTCAAGAGGGAGAGGTTTTCTAGCGCCAGGAACAAAAAAAAAACTGGCAGGAAATGGCGGAAATCGTACGCCAAATCCAGTCATTTCTGGAGTGGAACAACAGTCGATGGCCTCAACTCCAAACCAACAGATACAGATACTAATGCCGGAAAAAAAGCCCCCACCCCCCAGTACCACCAATACCACCAGTCCGATGACATTCTTCTTTGCACAGAACTGCTTAATGCCTCAAATGATGTAGTGGAAGTTTTAGCAGTAAAGGTCGAGAACCTAAACCTAGTCATTGTGGTAGTCTACAAGCCTCCGGATGCAACGTCCCAGCAATTCCAGGAACAGCTGTTAAAAATTAACCACTGTTTGGAAAATCTTCCAGCTCCTGCCCCCAACATCTTGCTCCTGGGGGATTTCAACTTGAGGTACCTAAAATGGAGGAATATAGCCAATAATGTTGTCGCAGTGATAACACCAGGAGGCAGCTCTGACGAGGACTCACACACACATGAGCTTTTAAATCTCTGCACAAAATTCAACTTAAACCAGCAAATAATAGAGCCTACTAGACTGGAGAATACTTCATCTTCACTAACAATGATGATCTGATACTAAATGTCACCATATCAAAAACAATATACTCAGATCACCACATAATCGAGGTTCAGACATGTATGCGCGGAGCCCCAGACCGACATAATGAGATTAGTCACGAGGGAGCATTCACCAAATTCATCTTCAATAACAAGAACATAAAGTGGGACCAGGTAAACCAAGTCCTAAACGATGTAAGCTGGGAAGATAGACTAAGCAACACAGACCCCCAACTTATGCCTAGAACAGATTAACTCGGTGGCACTCAATGTATGCTCAAGGCTTATTCCTTTAAGAAAAAAGAGGAGTAGATGTAAAATAGAAAGAGACAGGCGCTCCCTTTACAGGCGACGGAAAACAATAACAGGGGGGCTAAAAGAAGCCAATATATCTGAAATGCGTAGGGAGTCACTGGTCAGAGAAATAGCAAACATTGAACTTAAGCTAAAGGAATCTTATAGGAGTCAGGAACCTCGGGAAAAACTAAAAGCCATTAATGAAATTGAAAGAAACCCAAAGTATTTCTTTTCTTATGCCAAATCAAATTCGAGAACAACATCCAGTATTGGGCCCCTACTTAAACAAGATGGGTCCTACACAGATGGCAGCAAGGAAATGAGTGAGCTACTCAAGTCCCAATATGACTCAGTTTTTAGCAAGCCGCTAACCAGACTGAGAGTCGAAGATCAAAATTATTTTTTTTTATGAGAGAGCCACAGAAGTTGGTAAACACAAGCCTATCTGATGTTATCCTGACGCCAAACGACTTCGAACAGGCGATGAAGGACATGCCCATGCACTCTGCCCCAGGGCCAGACTCATGGAACTCCGTGTTCATCAAGAACTGCAAGAAGCCCCTATCACGAGCTTTTACCATCCTATTGAGAGGGAGCATGGACACGGGGGTCGTCCCACAGTTACTAAAAACAACAGACTGATATCACTAACATCCAATATCATAAAAATCTTTGAAAGGGTCTTAAGAAGCAAGATCGCCACCCATCTAGATACCCATCAGTTACACAACCCAGGGCAACATGGGTTTAGAGCAGGTCGCTCCTGTCTGTCCCAACTACTGGATCACTACGACAAAGTCCCTGATGCACTAGAAGAGAAAAAGAATGCAGATGTAATATATACAGACTTTGCAAAAGCCTTCGACAAGTGTGACCATGGCGTAATAGCGCACAAAATGCGCGCTAAAGGAATTACAGGAAAAGTTGGTAGATGGATCTATAATTTCCTCACAAACAAAACACAAAGAGTAGCAGTCAACAGAGTAAAGTCTGAGGCGGCTACGGTGAAAAGCTCTGTTCCACAAGGCACAGTACTCTCTCCCATCTTTGTTTCTCATCCTCATATCTGACATAGACAAGGATGTCAGCCACAGC